CGCTGGGTCTGCGGGGCGGCCCGCTGCACCCCGGCGGCCCGGGACCCGGCAAGGACGGGCGGGCTAGGGCGACTCGGGCCGTGCAAGGGCAGAAAGAGAATTTCTGGAAGGAGCTGGGGCAGGTGGAGCGACGGCTAAGTGCAAGGAGAAAGTAGCGGGCCCCGGTTGCCCACCGTCCTGATGGCGCCAACAGGTGATATCTGGCAAGCCTGGTCCCCACCCGGGGTTCAGCGTCTCCGTCTTAACTGGGGGTTGTACTGTGGCGTTGGATTGGTTCAGGCTGGCACAAGGGCTGCCCACTTGTTGGACAGAGCTTTTAGGAATTTTGCTAGTGCCTCTTCCCATCGTACAGGTAAGGAAACGGGCCCAGAGAGGGCAGGGACTTGCTGATATCACACAGCATAACAGCGGCAGAGCTGGGACTCGTGGGACGTCTTCTCTGCGAGAATGAGTAGATCGAGGAGTCGCTGAGAGGCCCGGGGCTCGGATCGGTCCTCACGAAGGGCTCCCACCCTCTCCCATACCAGCTATGGTTGGCCACTTGGCCAGATGCCTGAGGACCCCATTGTGGCCGTGCCCTGAGGTAGACAAGACCCAGGAGGAGAAACATCCAATCCCAGCGCTCCTGCCTCCCCCCCACTCCCACCCCCACACTTTGCTGCTGGTCCTCTGTGTGGACGTGGGCAAGTTGCTGCTTCCCTGGGCCTCAGATGGGCCATTTGTAAAGATAAAAGCTAAAATCAGTGATCACGGCTATCTCTGTGGCTCCTTCATCTGAGATGGGGGTATCTGACAGTCCAGGGGTGCCCACCCCCAGGTTCAGGCTTAGCTTGCCTCCCTCCTTCCTTCTGAGTCCTCTCCTGGAGGTCCAGTGGCTAGAGCCAGGCAGCAGGTCAGAGACAGGTGCCCACAATTTGTGGGCTGCCCAGCCTTGGACCCTGCACTTATCCAATCAGGCTGTCCTCTGCGGTTTCCCGCTGGGCTCTGCTCCCTGCCCACAGCCAGGCCTATGGCCATGGGCCAGCCCCATAGCTCCACCTGAAAGGTTCTGGGAGGACATAGGGGGTTTCTGAGCTGGAGGGAGGGGTTGGGCCACCAGGCACACCCCCAACCCCCTCAGCTGGCCCCCATCCAGGCCTCAGTATTGCTCACTCCTCTCATTGGATATTGAGAGTCATCTAAACACGCTTAGGACAAAACACAAAGTTGTCCCCCTATGGACCCATTAGGCTTCCTCAGGTAAGAGGCCTGACCGATGACCTGGCCATGAGATGACCTCTGACCCTGACATTGGCCACAGACAGGCTCAGACACCTACCTGTCTCAGAGCCTGGCCACAAAGTGACTCCTGATCCTCAGGATGGCTCAGCCCTCCCTGGTTGCAAGGGGACTCCTAACTGTCCATCTTTCATCCATAGCCCAGGAAATATTTATGCAACATCTGCTGTATGCTGGGCCCTGTGCTGAGGGCCAGTGAGACCAAAGTGCCCTTGTGGACTTCACAATGTGGCCAGTGCTGAAAAACTGGGAGGTGCCAGTGCTCTGTATAAGGTCAGAGAAGGTGACCCAGGGGAGGGGAAACTGAAAGTGGTTCTTGAAGGATGTGTTTTCTGTTGGAGAAAGAAGGAAGAGATATTCCAGACTGGTCCACAAGTAGCAGGAACCACTGGTCACTTCCTGTGGACAAACTTGATGAGGGGGCCTAGCCTGAGGCAAGTATTGTATCAAAACATTCATGTTTCTGTTCTAGAGCGGGCCAGCAGCTGTCGAGCACAGGATGGCTGTGCGGCTGGGGTTCAAGACCTCTGGGTCCCACTCAGCCCTGCTGCCCAGCTAAGGGGTACAGGTCACAGTTCAGCCTCTGCTCTCCACCCCACTAGCCAAATTGAAGCAAATCTGCTATGCAGGGCCTGTCCTAGAAGCTCTGGGTGGCACAAGAGACCCGCCTGGGTGGGCGGAAGCCTGTAGTGCAAGAAGAGGGCAGCAGGCCTGATCTGGCTGTGAAAGGTTGTAGGTCTGTGCTCCCTGGGTAGGAGGTGGGGTTGGGAGATCAAGGTGTTTCCTGGAGGTGGTGGAATTGAGCTTGAAGGATGGGTGAGGAGTTTCAGAGTCTT